TAATTTTTTTTTTTTTTTTTTTTTTTTTTTTTTTTTTTTTTTTTTTTTTTTCCCGGGCGAAACATCTTTGCATTCAGGAGGCCCTGTCACAAGCCATCAGCCTCAGCCGGGGAGAAACAGATGGAGAGTTAATTTTGGCGGGGAGGGCACTGCCGCGCTCCCCTCCTCTCCCCTCAGTCTGTCGGAGATGGTGGAGGCAGGATTTAACCCTCGCGGCCGCGTGGCCCCTCGTCTCCGTGGGCTCCTGCGTGGGCCCTGCGCCCCTCCTGGGGATGCCGGGTGGGATGGGGGGGCTAAAACCCCAAGTGAATCCCCCCCCTCTAAGTCCTGTGCCGTTCACTGCCAAGGACACCCTTGGACATCTCAGGCCAACGGCCTGGTGGTGACCCTTGCTGAGATGGTGGCCACCCGGCCAGCCTAGGTGGGGGTTCTGCTTCCCCCCGTGCCCCATGGCTCCCCTGAGCCAAGTCCTGGCCAACCCCCCCCCTCACCCCCCAGCTGGGGGCAAATCCTGCCGTGCTGGGAGCTCCCCAGGGACACCGGGTGGGCTGGTGCGTGGACGGGACAGCATCTCCCAGGAGCCAGCACACGGCTGGCACTGGATGGCAGCGATGCTGCCCGTGTCCCCAAGCCACCAGGAGCCATCAGGACACCCCCAGTGTCACCCCCTGGGCAATGGCCAAGAGCAGTGGCCGTGGAGGGGAGGGAGGGGAAACCAAAGTGTAATCGTGTGTGATTCGCAGGGGCTGAGCCGGCATTGACGGCTTCATACGTACAAATAATGGTGGGTCAAGAGACCTGATGGGATTTGACACCTGGTTTGGGAGGGGAGTGTGGCCTCATCAGTGATGATTGTCCCTTGGCTCGGTGGTGTCTCAGGCCTGGAGGGGGAGATGGGGACGGGCAGTGAGAGCAGTGGGTCAGAAGGGACAGACGGACGGAAGGAAGGACAGCAGGAAAGGAGGAGATGGAGGAAGAGTGATGTTGAACCAACCCTTATGCCCAGCAGAGACGCTGGAGCAGGTGTGTGACAGTGCAGTCAGGGTCTGTCCCACCGTCCCTGTCCTGCCACGGCTGTGAGACCCGAACCAAGAGGCTGTGGCTACAAAAAGCCAAGTGACAGCACAAGTCATGCTGGGGACACCAGGTCGTGCTTGGCAGGACAGGGTGAGCAGTGCAGGCTGCCGTGGGCACATGAGGCCACCACGCCACCAGCTGCTCCTGCTGCCCATCATGCCAGTCCCCTTGTCACCCAGGGCTGCTGCTGGTCCTCTCTGGGCAACCATGAGGATGCTCAGGCAGGTGAAGGTGTTTGCCATCCCACCAGTGTGGCCACCAACCCCTTGATCTGCCGAGCCTGGGGGTGTCTCCTGGGGCTGGAGGTGGGAAGGTGGGTCCTGGCTGTGGGGTGGGAGCCGGCGCTGGCTGCTCGTCAGGCCCTGGCACCGGCGGCCGCGCCGGGGCTGTGCGGGGAGGGGGCACGGCGGGGAGCCAGGGCTCCAGCGCTCTCCGTGATTCACTCTGACTATAATGGGAGCTGCTGGTGAATATTTTATGGCTCCCACAGGGCAGATAGAACATATTGTGCATTTTACGCCACAAATCTCCGCCTAGAGACAGAGGGATGCTTAAAAAAAAATAAAAAAAGAGCAGCACCAGCGCCGTGCTGGGCTGGAGGTGGGGTGCCAGAGAAGAGGGGGGTGCGAGGGCACGGCTGCCCACCCGTGTCACCCTCCCGGGGCGTTCTCCCGGGTGTCCCAAGGCTGGGATCGTCCCGGGGAGGAGGATGCTCTGCGGCAGGAGCAGGCCGCTGCCGAAGGGCTCTGCGGTGGCCGCGGTTGCCCGGCCGGGCCAGGCCTGCCTGCTCTGCGGCTCTGCGGCGCAGGCAAAGTGCTTTGCCCGGGGCTGGGGAGCTGCAGGAGGGGGGGCCCTGCCTGCACCACCGCTGCCTGCGCCGGGCTCTGCCTTCCCCTTCGTCAATAATGCAGTCCCTGCCCCGGACCGCCCGCCGGCACTGCCCGCAATAATGGATCGGGAAAGGAGAGCATCCACCCCAGCGCAGCCGAGCAGGAGGTTCTGCTCCCCCCACGCACCCCCCCCCAGGTCCCCTCCTCATCCTCAGCTGAGGCCTATCCTCTGCCAGGAGCCAGCGAGCGATGCAGAGCCCGCTGCCGCCTTCACCGTCCCAGCCACAACCTGCAGACACCAGGGTGGAAGTTTTTTTTTGGAGAGGGGGGGTGCTGCCTGCAAGGTACCCCCACACCAACCCCGGCACCCCTGTAGGGTGATGGCCAGGGTTCCTGACTGGTCCCACGTGGCAAGGACACATGGCCTGGCTGTCACTGTGCACCAGGAGGGTGGCTCAGGCTGGGACGTGGTGCCATGTTTGCAGGGGAGCTCGGGGTGCTGCGGGTGGTGAAGGTGGGGACACACACACACGACACTGCCCTGCTCCCCTTGAGCACATCCTGGGCAGGCAAGGAGCTATTTGGGAGATTGCAGGCAG